ATGGTCCTCCATCAGTTGTCTTTATAAAAGTTGTAGTCTTATATGTTAGCTTTCCAGTGACTTTGGAATCACCTAAAGAGAAAGTCTAGAACTCTAGTTAGACTTTTTTAATAAGTAAAGGTCAAACTATTCGCAATTAGGCGACTATTGCGATTTTTGTAATTTTTAGTATAGTATATGGTGGAATTAGAACTTGAAGTCTTCATAAGAGTTGTAGATAACTTTTTTAGCTTTAATATGAGATAATATATGTGTTTGATTGGAGTAGTGGAACTCCAATTCTATTGTGCTATGTGAAAGTTATTGTTGTATTCTAATCGATAATTACATGTTGAAAACGATGTGTTACTTCCCTTATAGCATATGGTAATATACGATGTCCTAAGTTATTATATGATGAATTGTTGATATGGATGATGATGTGTGAGGATGTTCAAGGTTGTTTACATTGATTGAAGTTGTTATGTTAAGATTGCTAAATATGTTGTAAGTTGTACTAGTTGTTGGAAGTTGTGCTTCAAGTATTTATTTGTTAAGTTTTTTGGCTATTTTCAATTGATTGTCAAGATGATGCTTCCATTGATGTATGCTTAAAGTTGTAAAACAACCTTGATGCTAAGTTATTATATTGCCTTGATGTTTTAAGTTGTCTTGTAGTTGTAAGATGGATGCTAACAATTGTTAAAGTTAAAAGCTATAAAGTTATTGTGAGCAAAATGTTGTGTTTATTATTATCGTTAAGTTGAGAGTTGATATATATGTTGAAAGATGATTAAGTTGTAAAGAAGTAAGTTGATATGATGTTATGTGTCGTTAAGACGTAAGATGAATGATGTTTAAGTTGTAATGATGTACGATGATAAGTTGTTAAGTTGTTAGACATGTGGTTGTGATACATGTCTATATTTAGATACATAGAAACTAGAGGAGAGTTAAAACTTTTTTTGAACTTTAATATCCTATTGTACAGATATACGCTATGTTGAATCCTTTAGTAAGTAAGTTAACTTTTGAATGAATATGTTGCTTTCAATTGTATCCTCTATATTTTATGTGGTATTCATATGTGAGTAACGTCGAGGCATATGTGTATAAAGTGACCATAGTATAAGGGCAAAGTTAAGCTATACCGATTATAAGTGACCAATCAATTAAAGAATGAAATCGGGGACTTAGTTCCTAACTGAGTATTGGAGGGTTGTGGTATCTGGAAGGTAGTTAGTAGGCTAATCCCATAAGGAACTTAGTGTTGTAAGCTAATGTCGTGGTAGACGCATACCCAAATTGTTCTACTTTGACATAATATCATACTTTCTTATTTAAATGGTGAAACCTGAGAAATCAATCTAGCTTATACTAGACATTGTTTTTACCCTTGTGTTAACAATTGTTTTTAGTCTTAGTGTTAATTGATATTTTTTGTAACATCCCAAATTTTATACAATGGTTAATTATTATTTTTATATTTATGAAAATTATTTTCCTATAGTTATTAATTAATAAAAAGGGGTCTTTTTATGTAGAATATTTTAGAGATTTTAATAATTGATTATTATGTATTTTAAATATTTATGGGGATTATTAAAGGATTTTATAATTAAAAATAATAAAATAGTATTATGGTATTTTGAAGGCTCAGAACGGGTCGGTCCCAAAAGTGAAACGGACCGTTCTAAATTTCTAAAAAGTCTTGTGTTTGTTGGCCCAGAACGGGCCGTTCCAAATTAATAAAGAGGCCTATTTTTGAGGGCCCAGAACGGCCGTTCCAAATTTTCAAAGAGAGCTATATTTGTTAGCCTAGAACGGGTCGTTCTCAAAGTGGTACGGGCCGTTCCAAGCTTAAAAAAAATACCTACAGATTTTAGTTAGAAAAGGGTCGTTCCAGTTATGGTCTTTGTGAGAAAATTTTTGCCTCAGAACGGGCCGTTCCAGTTTTAAATTTTACATAGGATGAATGGGTCCAGAACGGGCCGTTCTGGTTTTAGAACAGGCCGTTTTGGCCACTTCGAATTTCTATAAATATGAGGGAGGGGGGCTGTGAAAAATTATAACAACCAGAGGTGAAAACTTAGAGAGAGAAAGAGAAACAGAAAGAAAGAGAGAGAAAGAAAGAGAAAGAGAAAGAAAGAGAGAAAGAGAGGAAAAATTAATAGGAAAAGGATCTTGAAGTTTTTACGCAGATAAACCGATGTTCTAAGGTAAGGGGGAGGAGAACTTTATCTTTTTACAATTTTATATACTACTATGTTTATTTATTTGTTATTTTTTATATATATTTATTTAGTGGGGTGTCCTTAACCTCATTTATTTGCTTAATCTATAATTATTTTTATCCAAAATAATTATTAACGTGTTCATATTTTATATTGTTTAATTATTTTATAATGATTTTCATTTTTTATTTATATCATTGGTACTCTTAATATATTCTTTTTACGTAAATATATTTATTGTAAATATATTTTATAATCAACTATAATATAGTTGTGATATCTTGGACTCGTCTTATTGCTATTTCTTTGTGTATTTATCAAGATAAATATTGTTCTATGACCATAGAAGATAAAATTTGAATTATTTGTAGCTGGAAGTTTGACGTTGGGGATTTAAATGAGTAAGGAATGAAGGTGAAATATTCTCTTGTTGGTTAAGGTGAAATATCCTTTTGATGATTGATATTATGGTGATGCTCATTTATCCTGACTAGTCACAACAAGTATAATTCAAATTTTATTGTATCATGAAAATCTAATATATGATCTGTATATATATATATATATATATATGTTTAATATTGATTATAAATAATTCTGTATATTCTTTTGAATTATTGTATTTATTGGATATTGTTTTCACTCCTCTCTTTTCTTTGTTTTTAAAATTAAATATATTATAAAATAGATGGATCTACTTGAGATTCCAGATCATTTTGCAGTTGTTATTACTGCTGTCCTACTTGGAAGAAATTGGAATATGGAGGCTATTTGATGGATTTGTTATAATTTTATTTGCCAACTATATTATTTCAATTGTAATTTTCTTTTCACTATCAATGTAAATATTGTAATAGAAGTGGAAGAAAGAAATAATGTGTAAAATAATACATTATTGTAAATATTTTAAAACGATATGTCATGTAATAAGTTCACAAAATATTATTTTTCTTTATCTTTATCTTCATTAAAAAAATATTGTTAATGATATAATTGCGAAAATATTATATAAGAAAATATATAATTATTATTATATAAATCGGGCGTTATATTTTTGACCATAATGTCAATTATTATTTTTGGTTTTATACCAATTCCTGTGATTCGTTAGAGTCAAACCACTTAAACTACTCATCTAATAATTGGAGATCTCTATAGTTGATATGCATGATGACAAACACAATTGTATTTATATGTATGTAGGTTATGTCATTCTTTTGAAGGTGTTGAGGTGAATGATAGTCAAATAAGTGTTTGTGTTGTTTTATGTTGTTTGTGATGTATTGATGATATAAATGTACATGTTATCTAGTAATATGTATATGTGCATACTAAAAGTGGTTAAGTTAAAGGTGTAAAGATGTAGAGGCTGCTATCTGATAAAAGTTGTGAGTGTAATGTTGTCTAATGACTATGTGTTATATTGTATTTATAATGAAGTTGCCTAGTTGCACACGTTTGAGTTCCTTAAGTTGTATGACAAGACCTAATATGATGTAATGAATGATGTTCATTTTAAGCTATTTATGTTGCATGTTGTTGTATGATATTATTTTTTTGTTTCATAATCTTACGTTGTGTTTTCCCTTGTGATTTGGAATTTGTTATAATCATACTTGGTATGAGAGTATGATAGAATTAACAGATCGAGTGGTGCTGTTTGATGGAGAGTCATGTGGAGGTGGCTCTCTTTTGAAGGTTATTACCCTGATGTAGCTAGGTTTTGTATAAATGCTTGATCGATGAATAAATATATTTTGTATACAATAGTTATTTCTTTTGTATGAAGTATGTATATATGTTTAACAACAATTTATTTTATTTCTTACATATACATTTGCTCACATGAGATTTACCTACTTGTTACATGATATCCTAGACAAATACTTAACGCTTGTATTTCCGCTTAGTTGTTGTTAGACTTTAATAAGTATAGTGATCAAGTGAGTCATTACAATTATTAGTATAGATTTAATTGAAAATAATATTTTCTTTATTATTAGTATAGATTTAATATAAAGGACAAATTTTTTACTATGTTTGTAATTTCTAAAGATGCATTTTAAATAGTTTAACTTATTTATTTTGTTAATATAAAGTATTTATTTTTATATAAATGAAACAATTTAAATTTTTGTGTAAAGTTTTCCTTCGTTACATCTTTACTTCTTAATATTGTTTGTTATTGTTATACAATAAAACATTAATTAAAAATATATTTAAATTAAAAATTAAATATAAAAAAAATACGAGAAGAGACAAATGATTTACATGCAGCGGTGAAGATAAAGTAATCTAAAAGATATATAAAACAAAAAGAAGTATTTGCTTTATTATTAAAATATAAGTTTAATATATAAAGTGAATTTGATTATTCCTAAGACTTTTTAAGATGCATTTATAAGAGCTTAATTTATATGTATATTTTTAATGTAAAGTACTTTTATATGAAATTAATTTTATTATAATAAATAAATTTAAAAAATAAAATAATTTTAGTAAATATTCATATAAAAAATTTTGCATTCAGCTTTTGAAACAAAATCTTAAACCATTAAAAAAAAATCCTTGAAGAAACAAGCAAAGCATCCTAATCCTCCCCGTCTGTGACTGATCTTCCCCGCGTCACCCAATCACAAGCATATTTCCCGAACAGGTGGCGAAAGAAGCGCCGCAAAAGGCACGTGTAGTGAGAAAGCGAAACATGACAGTCGGTGAGAGCATCGTGGCACAGTGACAGGAGATTAGCACTACTCAACCACAGTCCACAAGCGATAGAAAAACCGCTATATATAAAAGCCAATGCCAAAGCCAAAGCGCGAGAGAGAGAAGTTGAAAAGGTTTGTGTGCGTCGCGAAAAGGTTCCGTTTGTTTCATCGAACAAATTCTCGCCGCAAGGGATACGAATCGCGAGAGGGATTTTCGCACAGGGCGAGAGGAATGGGGAGCGAAAGCAGGAACAGGAATGGCGACGCCGAGAAACACGTTGCAGCGGAGAACGGTGTGCCGGCGACGGCGGCGAAGGTGGTGCGGAGCGTGAAGGAGATCGTGAACTGTGCGGAGGAGGAGATCTACGCTGCGCTCAAGGAATGTGACATGGACGTTAACCGCGCTGTGGAGAAGCTTCTGGCTCAAGGTTTTGCTCTTTCGCTGCTGTGTGTTTGTTCTTTCGGTTGCGTTTCGTGTTGCTGCGGAGAGTTGTGTTTTTTTGCTTCTGTTCGTGTTTCGTTGCAGGGAAAATTGATGAAGATGAGAGTGTTGACTTCGTTTTATTTTTTTAAGTTTTTATTATTGTTCTGCAGACTTTGGTGTTTTCTTACGCTTTGTCAGAAATTTATGAAAAAAAAGGTCAAAAAGTGATTTCTGAGTTCCTTTTGTCTATTATGATTTGTCTGCATTTTGCATGGCTTTTTATTTTTTTATTTTTTTATTTATGAATTTAATAGATTGTATTTACAGTGTATGATAAGGATGTTATAGTCATTTGATTGGATTTTTGATTTCTGCTTGAAAGACAATAAAAAATGCATGAGAATGAAACATTTTGTTTATTTTTTTTAATTTAAGTAGGATACATTGATGGTGTTAAAGTTTCATTGCGCTATCATCTAACTACGGACTGCTATATAGTTAAAAATTATTTTTTTTGTAATTATTTTTTTAAAATTTATATATGGAGAGGCCGTGTAATAATCTTTCTCAGTGTATTTTTGTTTATGAATTATTGTTATGGTTTTTTAGACATTCCTTAGTCCTTACAATTGTTAGCTTCCAATATTTTACTTGCAGATACGTTTCATGAGGTGAGAAGTAAACGTGACAGGAGAAAAGAGGTATTCCTCATTTGACATTGTTCAGTAACATTGTGATAAGGTTGAATGAATTATTTGATGAATAATCTGTTTTCCTTTCAAACTTCAAATGAAGGGGGCATCCAATTCAAAGACTAAGGGTAATAATGTAGGGTCGATTCGTGGAGTCAAAAGTGGCACTAGCAGTGATAGCAGAGTTGTGCAAAGTGGATTAACATATGAGACTTATAATGGTATCTTCTTTGATTGCGGAACATCATGCAATTTCTGGTACATGCAGCTTGTATATTGACCTGGGTTTTTACTATTGCATTGCCTTACCTTGTCAAATATGTGTAACTTAATGTCAGAGCATGAAAAAGCCATTGACAAGGGGGAAGGTGGGTCAGTATATCCTTCAGTTATGCCTCCCACAACTCATGTTGAGCGGAAAAATACAAAAAGGTGAGTTTATATCTCAAGACAATCCGTGTGTTATTTTCTTGATATATATTTGAAGATGTTTTGACAATTGCTTTGATGATTTTAGCCTATGGTTGATCATTCTGTCCATTTTTTTGGCTCTCTCCTTTAGATATTTGTTTTGTTTGGTTAATACAAATTTACAACGTATAAAAATCGGTGTCTTGGAAAGGAAAATAAAGTGATTGCGACTGCCCATAAGCCCATTACTATTTTTGTTGTTGATGTTCTGTGCTTTCATCATGAATCATCAGGAAACATACACTGAAGGCAATTGATGCCTTAGTGGATTTTTTTAACATTTTTGCTAATTTAGAAACGCTCCTTGCTATTCTATTTTTATTTAAAATTGTTTGGATATCTTATTGACACTAATTTTTTCTCTCTGTGCATTCATGTGTATTAGACCATAAATTGTATTTAGATAAATAAATAGTGAATGTTAGTATATGAATGTAGTATACTCAAGTTCTTACTTTACCAAACAGCCGATACATACAACAATAATAAAGCCATTTTACCATTAGTTGGTGTTGGCTACATGGATCAAACAATACCATAATTTCCTATCGTAAATCATGGCAGCAAGGCAGGCATAGATGAGCCAATTAAATCTAAATTCTTTTTTCATGGTTTTTCCTATAGCTTTATTGGTCTACCAACCATTTGACTATCTTCTTTATGATTCCTTACTGGGGCTTATAATAGGTCGAAGGTGCTACCTCAACTTTCTCTCTATGGCATTCATTCCCAGTGTTATCAATTGCGGATTGTGGAAAGAAAATAATCTGCTATGTTATATAAATGGATAGCCGATAGCATCTTGGGAAAATAGCGGAAGTTGCATAGCAGTTAAAATATATGATATATCAATCATATATGTATAAAAACATAAGTTGTATGCACATAAAAATAAAATGCATAAAAATTGACATAATATTAACTCTAAAAGTTCAATTAGTTGGAGACTCGACAGAGATGAGTAGTAGATGTAGGATACATGCTGCAAACATGACACCATACTGGCTGCTATAGTGGACGGAGTCCTGATTTCTGATTCAAGGAATTCCGCAATGCAATATTGTTATAGTCCCGCTCTAGTGGCTATTTGACAACACTATTCATTCCTAATCGTGTCTTGTGTGTCCACTCATTTGTTGTAATGTTCTGACTTTTGCAACACTTGTCTAGTTTTCTTGTTCACTTTTTGGTGCCTAACATTTAGTACCATACTTAAACCATATGACTTATTGTATATCTTGATTTTTATCTCTAAAACTATTGTGTCTACTGCTAAAATTACACTCCATATACTAAGTTGCACTTTTACATAAAATGAAAGATGTGTAATTAAAAAGCTTGTCTATGCATCAACTGCTTATTCCTTATTTCTTTTCTCAATAAATCTTTATTATGTTCCCAAAAATCTTGCACTGTGCCACCAACTCTCTGATATGATCAGTAAGCCCATGCAAGACCAATTTGTAAAGTAGGGAGCTCAATGTTGACCTTTCCTGTAGTCCAATAGTATAAAAATTCGTCTGTGACCCCACGTTGTGTTTTCACTAGTTGTGACTCCATGCTACACACATTTCGTTGCACACGTATAGGCTACAATGCTATGTTATGAACACCTTCTCTAGAGTCTAGAGCCTTTGTAATCTCCTGACATCCTATTGTACATCTTTTCTAAATTGATGATAGCTACCTGGATTTTTTTTTATTCCCCCAATATCTCTATTAAACTTTCTAGCAAGTATATGTTTCCATTTCCTGGTTGACCTATTCAACCTTAAACCAAATTAATCAAGTCTCTAGTCTTGATCTTCACTCAATTACAGTCCTCCATATAGCTTCACAGTATGACCATGTAATTCTATAATTTTTGAACTTCTGTATTTCATTCTTGTTCTTGTATATAGGGATTTGTTGTATATAAGGATTGAAGTACTTGTCTAGGTGTCTGGCATTATCTTACACCTCATAATCTTGTTAAACAAATTTTGAGCCATCTTATGCTTTTTTCTCTTGGGCCCTTCTATACCTCAATAGGCATTATCATGTGATCCAACTAATTTGCCATAGAATCTCAACTTAACAAAAGCATAGTTATGAGTCCAAAATATTGATGCAGTGGCTGAAGCATAGTTATGAGTCCAAAATATTGATGCAGTGGCTGAATACATAGTGCATGTTTGGGAATGTGTTTCAAACAAAACAAATGGCATTTCCCACTTTCCAAAGCAAAAAGTGTTGAAGCAAGGGGAGAGTTGCTTTAGGTTTAATGTGGGTTTCTGGGAGTTCAACTCCAACCCAAACATGCTGTTAATCGTTACTGTGGCTTGTGCGATGGTTGCTATTTTTTTATACAAATTAAATAATTACATATTTAATATTGTTCGTGTATATATGCTGAAAATCCAAACTGAAAATAAAAAATTGTTCATAATTCAAAAGAGAATAGAGAACAAAGAAGAAGAAAGGCCAGAAGAGTCTCAAACAGAGAACAAAACAGAGCAAAGTCATGGGAACAGACTAAAGAGGACAACATAGATCATTGAGGGATTAAATAGTCACAGGTTAGCTGAAAACCACCATGTCACTGGGAAGTGCTTGAGAGACAGATAATGATGGGTGTAGTGTGGTTCATCGAAAGAGATGGTGTGCAATTGAGATTGCAAAAACAAGGGTTTCATTTTTAACCCCTTGATTCAATGAATGGGTGGGGGAAAATTGTAATATTTCTCCCCTAAAACACCCTAAATGATAGTTTTGAGGGGAAGTAAAGCATTTAACACCCTGTTACACTTAACACACTACTGTTACCAAACCCCACTATTTTGGTGCAAAAGTGGCTGTGGTGCAAATAGTAAACATTTATGCAACACTAGTGGCACAGAGCCATGATGTGATGCACAGCTGCAGTAGAAGCTAGACTGTGTGAAATTGATTATGCTGCATAGAAGGTATGATTTTGGTTCTCTCTAGTGTTTAACCTATGCCCATCAGATGTTATTAAAATGTGTCCATTAAATAAATTGTGATGGTGACTCTCACACCTTTCCTTGTTATCTTGTTTTATGGCTGAGACTTTACCTTCCCTTTATCCTTTGTTTCTCATCTGGTTTATGTATCTTTTATTTTTTCCTCTACCTATGACAAGCCTGTAAATGCTTTGTGGCTTTGATTCATAACGATTGTTTTAACCTGTCAAATACTCAAGCTCTTGCTGCCATTTTAGCATAGCTACCAAATTGCTAGTATATAATGTGAAAATATTTATTGTTATTTGCCTGGCTTTTAATGACATTTATATAACTTGCATTAGAATGCACTGATGCTGCAAGTGATTATTTTTCTAAATAAAGTTTGTAATTATTCTCCTTATATCTTTTTTAATGCAGTGATTCTTTTAGTACTAATAATGGAAGACAGTCATTAATAACAAGTCATCCTGTATCGGATTCTGTCCAAGCCTCTTCAGGACCTCGACCCTCAATGACAGGAGTAAGTAAAGGACGTCTTTCAATGGCAGACATTGTAAGAATGGGTAGAACATCATCACAAGATACTGTTTCACATGACCTCTGTAATTCCTCAGGAGTTTCTGCATGTGAAAATTCAGAGTCAAGCTTAGGTCTTCCCTTTCAAAATCATTCTGAGCAACAAATTTTTCATGATGAGTGGCCCATAATTGAACAACCAATTGCTAGAAACTCACAGGCACTAAAAATGTCTGCATCTTCTAATGCTAACGGGCCATTTGAGAGCATGAACGTAACTGCAACTTGTTTACACAAGAACTGTGAATTAGATGCTGCCCCAGTTTCATGGGGGGATGTGTCTGGTGATGATGCTGTTTCTGCTTCTATATCCAGTAAACATTCTATTTTGAGCAGCAACACTGGGCTACAATCTCATTCCTACTCTAACTTAGGAAATACCCTTTCCTCTGATCTTTTTAGTTCTCATGGGCATCATGAAGGTAACTATTGTAACTATTTTTTTTTATTAGAATAACCTACTTCTCTAAACAATGATTTCAACATCACATGAGTCTTCTTTTTGTTGGAGCTATGCTGAAATGAGATTTAAGAGTGATCACTTATGTATTGTGCTATTAAACAAACAATAATTAATATTTATGGTGAATGATGATTTAGCTGAGTTTGAGTATGGATCACTGTAGTGATTTTTGTAGCCATGATATTTCTTGGGTTTTGTATGTCCATTGTCCAAAGCCTGTTATAATTAATATTTATACCTTACAAGTGACAAAAATTACCACAAACCATATTAGATGTTTTTGAGTTGCCACAAAATGTTTGTGCACGTCTTGTCTGTCTTTCTTACTGTATGATGTGTTCTTGTGCATATCTTTTACCCTTTTGTTTAGGGAGAAATAGAATGGAAGGAAACAGAGGGGAGGGACATGAGATAGAAAGACCAAATTTCTACCATTTGTTTGAAAGGAGAAATATGAGGGAGAGAAGTTATTTTTGTAGGACCCGTCAAAAAGACTTCCCCTCCCAAATTGTTTGGAAATAAATAGGAGGGAAATGATTTCTGTTTTTTTACCCCCCTCATTTTTTATAACAGATTTAAAAAAAAAAGCTATTAATAATTTTATCTGTACTAATAATAAAGAGGATTACAGTATCCACATAACTGGGTATCTGGTATCCACATATCTCTCCTTATGACAATGAAGTTGGTGGTGGAACCTTCAGATTCAAGTTCTAAAAATTAAAACATCTTTGTATTGTCTTTTTATGCTGTTGATTAGTGAATTGAATTGTAAAGTAGATTATGTGCATGAAATTTGAAATGTGTGTTTTTACTGTGATGATTATATTTTCTTACTTCTGTTGAACCTTTACACAAGTTCTGTAGAAAAGTGAGGTAGAGGTATCTTACTATCTTATCATTGAATCAGAATCTGTAGAAGGGAATGTTTAAACCAATTTTTAGATATGCTGCTTTGTTCATTCTTAATACATGGAAAAACATAGGTCTCATGTAATATCTACTGTTTTTTCACCATTTTTTTTAAAGGGCTTGTAAGGATTGCTATTCTATTAAAGATCATTCAAATAAATTTACTGGTGATGTCTTTGCAGATGTGTCATCAGCTGCTACAATTTTTCAGAAGCTAAGTATAGGAGAATCCAAACAGAAAGTGCCAACATTTGAAGATGACCCTGAAGTGATTATTCCAACTCATTTGCAAGCCTTGGGTGCTGAATGTTCTCATTTGAGTTTTGGTACATATAATGGCAGCAGTAGTTCTGCATCTTCTGTGATTCTTACTTCTAATCATATTTCTAAAAGTGGCATGGAAGAGAAGTCTGCAGCTGTAGATAATTCTTCGACTCAGTTCCAGGATGCAAGGCATTTTTTTTTTCTTCCATTCCCAACTTCTGATATAGTCTGTTTTTTTTATTGCTCAACTCATTTTTTTTATTGTTTTATCTCTATTAGTTCTGTGTACCACGGTGATAAGCAGCTTGGATTTGATGTTCTTAGAGGAGCAGGAGGTGATAAAAACAATGATTTCCTTCCATCTCCTAAGCAATGGCATGTAAATCATATTGTTCCGGAGGAAACTTTTGAGCATGAACGCAACTTCACAGCATCTGTATCAGATCCTAGTTTGCAAAATTCACACTGGGTGAATACTTCACTGCCTTTCAGGCAGCCAGACTTGCAGAGTGGAAACCAATTTATTTTTCCAAAAGAACTGGTGACACTATAGCCTTTCATATATGACTTCTTTAGCTTGGTTTTCTTATTGTATTGATGGGCTTCTTACATGAAATAGGTCTATGTGCATTTCGTATGATTCTGCTCTTTAATGGCTGTTTAATTAAAATTCCTGCTTCTTTTTAAACTTTCAAGTGCTATATAGTATATAATTTTGACATTTGCTTTTATTTTGACGCAGTATGCTGACTCAAATTCAATACCCGATGATGTGTTGGCATTCCTCATGACACAATCACAACCTGCAAGACACAGTAATACAGTATCATCTATAAGCAATCCTGCCATCTCCATGTCCCAGGTATCTAGGATGTATTCGTCTGCTTTGTACCCCCTTATTAATTCTTTGACTTTATGTATTTTTGCCTGTGGCCATATGCTAATAATTTCATAGAACGGTATTCTTTGGTAGGAATAGTCATCTGATTAGGGATGGCAAAAATACTCGCACCCGCGGGTATCTGCAGGTAAAATCCGCTACGGATAATAAATGGATAAGTTAATTGGATACCCGCGGATAATGGGGACGGATAATTTTTTATCTGTTTATAAATGGGACGGGGGCGAGTATGATGATATCCATACTCGTGGGTACCTGTTTAATAATATTTCTTAAATATCCTAATTATGCTTGTATCACATAACCCTAAAACTACACTCTCTCGTCTTATTTTCTTACAAAAGTGAGGTTGATGAAGTTACCAACATGTATTAAGCATGTTATAGAATTATGCTGGATATAATTTGATTAATTTTCTAGCTTTGATTGGACCAATAAAATTTATGTATTTCAAATTGTTTACTTTCGTTTGGAATTATGAGATTGAATTATTGTAGTTTTGTGATGAGACTTTAACTTGTGAGATTGATGTATTTTAAGTCATTGATTATCTTACATTTTTATTATTATTTCAACAAAATTAACGTTAAATACAAGTTTAAAATTAACATTGAATTTTTATTTTTAATATTTCAATGATATTAAATATAGACTTAAAATTATTTGTAATATAATTTTTTAATTTCTTAAAAAATTTATAAATATCCATGGATATCCGTAAGTATTCAAGAAATTCATGGATACCCGCTCAATGGATACCCGCGCAAATATGGGGTGGGTATGGGAACAATTTTCATCTAGCGGGGCGGGGGCGGATTTACTATTACCCGCTCCCATGGGGCCCCATTGCCATCCCTACATCTGAAGTTTATATTACTTGATAATTGTTGGTAGAAGATTAACAGGAAAGAGATGGTTCAAGTCTTGGGCTGTTGTGTACTTGGCTTTCCAGAAGTTAATAATAAGTTCTGATTTCAATACTTATTAATCCAAATACTGCATTATTGTCTCACATATAAAAAATGGATGTGGGGAAATTCATGCAGGGTTTCCTTGATAAACATATATATCAAGCTGAATAATTCTTTCTAGTGGTCCTCTCCCAGCATAGTGGTATCTGTTTTGATGTAGTCTGATGACGAGTTAGTGGGAAGCAGCTGTTGTTAGGGACGTAGGCCCAGCTGAGAGGCCAAACCCAGGAAAAGGGGCGGAAGGGGTAGGGAAATTAGGGCTATTATTATAATACAAGGCTGTTAGGGAAATTAGGGCGATTATATTTATATTTGGGGTGATTATACATTTAGGAATGCTGCACCTGTAGACAGCAATTAGATATTATTCTTAATGATTAACTGAGTCATTCAGTTGGACTACCAGCTGCTCTAATGATTGATCCAACCTTATAATTAGGGATGAAAATAGGTCAGATCTTGAATATATAAGTCAAGTCTACTTTATAAAATTAAAATCAGAGTCTGACTTGTTAGACTTATTATCTCTTATAGGCTATTTTAAAAGCTTGGTCTAACTTATTAATTTGTTTAAAAGTCTATTTTACATTAACAAGTCAATAACCTTAATTTTAAATAAGCCAACAAATCTAATTTTAAATATGCGTGAGTCTTTTTTAAATATGCATGATAAAAAAATAATTTATTCTATTATTATTAAAATCTAGATTTTAAAAGAAATAAAAAAATTAATGTAATAGGAACAACACATGTGATGAAAGGGTAATCTTATAAAAAAAATTCTGAATATCCCATGAAGATGAAGGAAAAAAGCATGTAAAGATGTGGCTATTAGAGTTTCTATTTTCTATTTCTTGATTTCATGCGAACTAGGAATGTAAAACATTTAAGTGTAGTGACAATATTAAAAATAGATATAAATAATTTTTTTTTGTATTACAAATTTATTTATTTATTTATATTGTTAATACTTTAATATGTATATTAATTTTTTTATATTATATATTATATAGTTAAATAGGCTAGTTTATTAGGCTTAATATGTTTTTTTATTAGTTAAGCTAAGCCTTTTTAAATAAATGGGTTTTTTTTTAAAAGTCTAAACCTAGCCTTCTATTTAATTAGACCAAGTCAAATTTTAACCAGGCTTGGTCATAGGACTATATTTAAGATCTGGTCTATTTTTATCTCTTTGTATAGTCTTGAATCTTGATTATGAAATGCCAAAAGAACAAGAATTAATAGTTAAGTAGTTAACATTGGAAAGTGCATTTGTATCATTAATTTGAGGTTTAAAGGAATCAAATCAGTGCCCTCAACTAAGTTGTTGGCAAATTGAACCTAATAGTTAGTCATTGATATTCTTGACAGTTGTTGAACCATGCAGGTCATGGAGCCAGGTGCCTTTACTCTACCTAAGAGATCTGCAGTTTCCCTTTCCCAGGGTCCTACAGTGCATTCCACGACACACTTTCATCAATTGCCTGACACCAACAGATATCTTCCCCTGCCCCAGAATAAGCCATACATTACATCCATTGATTCTCAGCAAGCATTTTCAGGCCATACTGCATACAATCAATCTCCAGCAGACATGAACTACAACCTTTCGCAAAATAGAAATGAATTCCTTACAAGTAGATTGCCTCATGCTACTGCCAGAGATGCATTTGGTTATGGAAATCTTGGCTCTTCCATTTATAGTCCTGGAAGCTTTCTGTCCAATCCATCTCTTGGTCGTATGATGCCTTCAAGTAACTTGAATGAAGTTTTACCTTCTCAGTATAATGGTGGACATAACGGAAGCTCTATTCAACAGGTAAGTTGTATTTTTTTCTGAGATAGAATGATCTTTATATTCAAAGCTGTTAATTTGGTGATAATAGCTTTGTACTTTAAGAATGGATTTTGCGTGATTGAATGCTATCGACTATAGTACGATGGTATTATGAGAAAATGAAAATGACACGTAAAGCTAGCCATTGTTGGTCTCTGTTACTGTGTATGCTTCCTCTGTGAACCTACTCAGAAAAAAGAAAAAAGAAGAAGAAAGTGATATCTAACTGTTCTTAACATCTGATGGATGGATTATTCACAAAGTGTGACCATTATCCTTGACATAATAATAATACTTTACACTACTAAAATATGTTACATAGAGCATGTTTGGATACAAAATTATGGGAACTTCTCTACTAAAAAAATATCTATATTTTCAGTAAAGCTCTTCTAATTCTGAATCCAGACAGACTCATAATTTCATGATTTGGGTTAATGGTTGTTGTAATGTTTTTTTAGCAGCATGGTGGTAGTTTTTCTCATTGGGATTATGAGGCCGAGTCGAGGTCGTCGTTTATCCCAGAGAGAACCCAATATAACTTCCTAGGGCAGCAGCCAAATCAGGGTTCCCTGCCACAATATGCTAGTCCAGGATATTCCAATCTTTATCATTCCCAGACACGGGTTTTGGAACAAGCTCAGCAGCCAGGTGGTTTTCAAGATTTGTCCTCGGAGCAGTTGCATCAATTTTGGAAGCACAGCCACTAACAGTATAGTATACATTCTGCTTGTTTTTTGTCCCTCTTTTTATACTAGCAACTATCGTAGTAGTAGCAGGTTTAGGTGAATTGGGATGTCATTTTCGTTTAGATGCTTGAGCGTTAATTCAATTGTACATGCTTTTTGAGAACGTGACTTTGTCCTATTTACTGGGGCATTGTTTTGTTAGAGTTATTTTATTGTAACATCGCATTGGGGCAAGATGAATACACTTTTTCAACCCAACAAAATTGTTATTCTCGAGATGCAAGCATAGGATAATATGGGAATGGGGACCCCCTCACATGTATGATTTTTGGGAGGTAATTAACATGGGATTTAGTGCATCGAGATTAACGCAAAATTAAAACAATGATCTGGGATTGAGTTGGTATTACTTAACTCTATCTTAAATGCTAATCATTCTTTTGGGATTCTATTATGTTCATTGTCGTAATGCACCTATGGAACCGAAAGGAGATATTTGGCAATAAAGCGAGTACCTTCAAATGGGTCCAAAGGGAACAAGAAAAGGGTGATTTGAATAGGATAGACATTGATGTTAATATAATATCGTACTTTCACCAGTTGCTTCCCATTATGTGATCTCATGGCTATAGCCACCTAGCTCTAAAATCAAGCCCATAAATCCTATTTTCAATGTCAATGAAATATATGATCATATTAAGTACTACAGTACAAACTAGTTTGTGTAAGGTGTTTTTTTATATATTTTTTTAAATCATTTTAATTTGTAGTGATCAAGATTTACTTGATGACTTTCAGTAAATACTGCACTAGTTTCAATGGCATTTTCCAAATAAGATAAACATGAAAGTAAAAAATGTTTAATATGGGTTTGAACTGAAAAACAAAATGCCACTAGAATGTCTATTTCCTTTTCAAATCCAACAATTTCTTGCTTTTATGTTTAACTGCTTTGCAAAATGCGCCAACGTGAAATAGAAAGTTAAGCCAAGTATAAATATTTATGTAGGAGTACTTATTTTAAAAAAGAATTATAATTAGATGATTTTGTTAACATCTATATCTATATTATTAATAAAAGTCATAAGTTTATTTGCCGTAAACATTTTATTGACTATTTTAGCCATTTTCCTTTCAAAATATTCTCTCTCTTCCATATATTTTTATTAAGTTATTATTTTTCTTTTCTTTTCTATTTTTCTTTAAATTTATTTTTCAAACTTCTTAAACCTTCTATATAACTAGTAAAATTCACTCACATCCTTCAGTTGTTAACCTAATACCCATTTAACTTCAATTATTTTTATCATTTATTTTTATTTTACTTTTTAAAAAGTGCACGAGACATAAAATATCATTTTTTTATGCTAGTTTATTTATTATAAAGGAGATTAATCCATTTTCATAGAACCCACCTCTCAAATTATTCTCTCTACTATTTTTCAAAAACTATCCTTACAACTATACCTATTCAAAAACTTATTATTAAATGTCCATCTTTATTTATTTTTTTATTTTAAAAATACATGGTAGCAAAAATATTTTTTTTACGCAAGTTTGTGTTACTTAATGAGGGTGAGTATTTTCTATTACAAGAAAAAATGTGATTATCGGACGGTTAAAACTGTCAATAATTGGGGAAAAAAAGTTGATAACGAAGAATTAAACTATGTATCAATCACAAGAAGTCCATCGAAAATAAGCAGTGTAAAAAATATTTGATGGCCAAAATGTAGTCTTGAGATATATCAATGACTAAATTGTCGCTGAGTTGGTCCCTAGTAGATGCCAAAGTGTTACATATGGTAATAGATTAGCTTCTAGTAATTATTGTAGAGAAATTTACGACGATTATTGCAATAGCTAAACAGCGGATAGTGGTGACTAATCTCCTCGCTACAAGGGAGACATTTCAAAAGGTAGGATAACTGACCCCAAGATTTAACGCAACTACATATACAAGGCAGGATTTGAACCCTGACCTTACTTAAGCGTGGATCAACTCCTACCATTAAACCACACACTTGGAGTTATTATCATATGAAGTAAGTTAAGATTATTTATCCAAAATGTTAACAATTTTATTATACATGACTATTTGACAGTTTAAATATATCTTATATTGTTAATTTATAACTTATTTTTCGTACAAGTTAATATGAATATTTTAAATAATAATTAATTTAAAATTTAAATAAATAAATTCTAAGATAAATCAAATTATATTATAATGTATTCAAAAATAAATTCATAAAGAAAATAAGGCCTGATGGTAATCCTCATTAAAGATATTGTTGTGATACAAAAGATAGTATATTAGGACAAAATTCAAATAAGATTTTAATCTACTAAGTACTAATATAGTACTATATGTAGATTTTATCTATTATATTATCCCAAATGTCTTTCAAATTTAATTGGTCTATTCATAAAAAAATTTATCAATTGGTATAAAGTGAAGAATAATTAGTAAAAATCTTTTGATGTAAATTACGATTCAATAAAAAGAAAATAAATAGGATAAAAAAAACTCATTTATTTTATTATTCAATAAATGATCGATTTTTTTTTTTCAAGTATAAGATATTTCAAAGACAAAAATACTCATAATTATTTTTATTAATAATTTATTTATTTTACTTGTCTATTTTTCACTATCGTGGTTGGTCCACCATTACTGATTTTAATACTATTATTATCAATAATTACTTTTATTATGTTATCATTAATATCACTATTAATACTCTTTTCACTATTATTATCATCAGGATTGATTATCTTTGCTACAAATATTGTCACTATTATCATTAGTATCAAATTATCAGATTCACGTAGGCATGGCAACGAGGCGGGGCGAGGGCAGGTTTTACGTTCCCTGCCCCCGCTTCCGATACCCG